CTCTCTTCGCGCGAGCATCTGCGCAGTTGTGGTGAAGCAGAGTTGCCAGAACGGACAGTGATGCCGCTGTTACGCTTGACCGATAGGTCGCGCTCCAGCCCCGTGTCTCTCGCAAAACGACGCAGCTTGTGGTTTTGAAGGCTATTCTCAAGTGTCGAGACGTCATCATCGCCAGGCACCCAGCTTGCATGTGCTGAAGAATTTGGCAACGAGGGCGATGGAATTGACTTGATATTTGAAGATCGTGATTGCGTCCGAATGCTTCTTGAAACCCTGTCTAAGCCTTCATGTGTAAGCTTGTTTGTCGGTATGTGCGTCAACTGCGTCGGTGGAGGCGAAGGTGCTGCTGGCTTGGACTGCGTGAGATCTGTGCTAAGTTCCAAACTAGGCGAAGCCTGAAGCTTGCGTCGAGACTGCTGTGGTTTCTTTGCTCGCTCAGTTGGTGCATCGCCACCTTTGTCGCTAGCAATGTCATTCGTCAGGACACTAGACTCCATGGCTTTCTTGTGCTTTAGTGTATGTGCTCTTCCAACACCATGCTCGTCTACGCCACTGTCTCCGCCTCTAAGCGACACAGTCTTAGCCCTATGCCTAAGCGTCTGGTTTCGTCTCGGCCCCGTCAGATCTATAATGCTGACCTGCACCGCATTTCCGTTAGCCAACGCGTCAATTTTGCGTGCGTTCTGGTCCTGGATGTGGCGGTATACTGCATCGTTGGTCAGCGTGGATGTTCTGATGTTTTGCTTGTGCGATAAAGTGGGCATCGTGGCTATGCTAGTCTCCTTCATACTTGGCGTAGGTTGCAGAGGACGTTCCAATTCAGAAGGAATGGCTGTCTGCGGGAGGATTGGCAGGGAAGGAGAAGGAGCATAGGGTACTGCAGGCGGTGGAGACGCCGCACGCTCTTCTCCTGCCTCTGCATCTAGTGCAGGAGAGCCTGGCTCAGACAGCGGCAGAGCTGCTGCTGTTGCTATCGCCGCTACAATGGAGGCTTGTGTGTTGCGGTGGGAGGAGGAAGATCGATCGGATATCCCGTCCCCATCCCGGGTTCTGACAGGGCACGATGGCTCCTCATCCTCTGTTTGTGCGTCGTCGTGATATTCAGAAATGAATTCCTGGTGTTCGTCACGAAGCAGAGGCTCAGCTAAGGGTTCATCCTCAGCCTCAGCCTCATCCTCAACCTCAGTATGCTCATCTCGTGTTGCCTCCTTAACATCAACCCCAGGTACTGCTTCAACATCCGTTGCAGGGCTCCGACTGTGCGTTCGACTATAGCTGGTTGATCTTGAATGAGCTCGGTGGGGCATTTCCACTTCGCGATCGTGTTCGCGCTCATCCACATCAGGTAACTCAAATGGTTCTCTCTCGACCGTTTTGGGAGCCAGGGCGCTTGTGTCGTTCTCCCAATCACTGCTCTCGCTCAATCTATCCTCTTCATCTGCGCCAGCATGCACCTCTTCCACGCTATCCTTCAACTTCTTTTCAAACCTACTCTCAGGACCATCCGAGTCTTCATCTTCATCTTCACCTTTCTCATCCTTGGACTCATCCCCAGAATCATCCTCAGACTCATCCTCAGACTCATCCTCAGACCTGTCTTCATCATAATCCTCCCCTTCCAAACCAAGCCCAACAGGACCATTTCTCCTCCTCCACCTCTTCCCAGTCCTCTCAATTTCAACCCCGTCCTCATCCCTCCCGGCCCAAGTATCGAGCTCCCCGTCCTCCTTCATACGTGAGTACCTCTTCGCATCCATGGCCTCCTTAGCAATCGTGCCCGAATGCCTTTGCTGTCCCGACCTCGTGAGCGCGGAGAAATCCCACTCGCCACCTTTCTGCTTGATCGAGCTCACACGACCAGCCGCAAGTGCTTCTCTGGCAATATCACGTCGTCCTGGAGGAGTAGAAGGGCGCTTGCTGGCACTAGCACCACGGGTGAGGGACTCGACGCGCGAGAATATTGGAGAGGTCGGTGGGATGGCCTGTGGCGAACGAGGTGAGATTGGCGAGGATGAATGGGCCGAGGCAGATGGTGAGGTAGCTTGCGGCGAAGCGGAAAGATCTGCAGCGTTCTCCTCGTAGCGGAGACGGGAGGGTGCCGCCACAAGTGGCTCCATTGCTAGGGGACGCGAAGCGGAGATGCTGGGCATTGTTTGGGGGAATGCAAAGAGACCGACGGAGGGCCTACGGTCCCACGTGCGTGAGTGTGGTGGCGAGTCGTTCTCGGTTGTGCTCCTCGTGCTGTTGTTGCTGCTCACCGGCCCGTCACGCGTGACAGGTCTGGACGAGTGGGTCGAAGGCGAGGGCGAGACGTCTGCACTGCCAACGAACGAGACGTAGCGATTCCAGTCGTGATCGCGCTCGCGCTCTTGCTGCTTCTCAAGTGTGGGAGTCTTTTCGCCTTCAGGGTTGGTGGTCACGATGATGACGCCCCTGCCCCTATCTTCCGCGTCCTCGTCAAACCCATCACCGCCCTGGGAGATGCTAGTCTCGCGGGACATTGTGGAGATGCCGCCATCCCAGATGGGAGAGTCAGGCGAGGGCGCGGTAGTCGAGATTCTCGAGAGCGGGTGCGTGCCATTTGCATGCAAGGGGTCGTCCGGGACAATGTCGCTGTCATGAGATGAAGAGGCGGCGTTGTTTACCATTTCACGGAAGTCATCTCTCTGCCCGTCGAGCCAATGCGCTGGCAGCTCGTCATAGTCTTCGCACTCAACCACTTGCTGACCCACCGGTGCTGGACTGTTGTTCTGGGTGTTGCCCTCTCTTGCTGTCTGGAAGCTCTCGGCAAAGCTGCCTGCGTAGCTTCCATTGTGCGATAGGTCAGGCCGTTGCTGCAGTCTGTCTATCACTTTCGCGTTTGCTGGCGCAACAAGTCGCTCGCGACTGGCGTATGTTGAAGGAGGGCTGGGGTCGGGCGTGGGTGGGGAGTGCTGATGCTGGACAGGTGTGGAAAGCCCGCTCCGCTTACTTTCGAGTGCATTCCTGACGCTATCGGCAAACATTGGCGATGGCGCGTCCTCTCTTTCCTGCTGACGCGAAGCCGGTTCGACCTCGTGGTCGGCAGTAGACATGCTGGGCGGTGTAGGCGGTAGGCCAGACTTCTGGCGGCTCAATTGAGCACGTAGAACAGCAGATTCGCTTCGCTCGTGTGGGAGGGAGTGAGCGTTGCGCACAGTCGTGTGAGGCAGTGGTGGAGAGGGTCTGCCATCACTCCCGTGGTCTTCGTCAGAGGAAAGGTGCTCGATGCGTGTGGAAGGGATTGAAGGGTCGCTGCTGTGCTTTCGGTGATAACTATCGCGGTCCTTGTAGTGACGACGTTGACTGAGAGAGTCCCGCACGCTGTGGGTGAGGTTGTGGGACGCGTTCTCGAAGGACTGTTCCAGCAGCTGGAAGGCATCTGGAGGGACGCCTGGCATATTTGACTACGGAAACGGGGGTAAGCTGGGCGTCACCAAAGCATTCTGAAGGCGTTATATGCTGGTTGCCTTTGATAGGATTGTTGGGGGCGAGAAGTAGCTGGTGGATTGAAGCCTCAGGATGCAATGCGCATTGCAGGGCTTTACGTCGCGAGTGCTGTAGGCTTACGGCTTGAAGCCTAGCAGTGGCGGTAGGTGGATGCCGTACACTCCTGACTCTCCAGTAGCGAGGCAGAGTGCAGCAGTGAAGGTTGAGACCAGCATGAAACCTGAAACGCAGTTCAAACGCAACAACACACGCAGTACAGAGTACAGCCGGGGGAGAAAAGGGAGAAGCGGTCGAATGAAGCGAATGCAGAAAGATGGCACAAAAGGCGGATGGAAATCTGCAGCAGAAGCAGAGGCGACTCGGACCAGAACTGCAGTCCTATTTGCTGGACGAGAAGTGTTACCTTGTAGACGCGATGCGATGCGATGCGATGCAATGCAATGCAGGATGCGGAACAAGTCGCAGTGTATGCAGGCAGGATGCGCCAACTCCGTCTGGACTGCTGGTCTATTGGCGGCAGGCTGCATGGGAGATACGTCATGTGAAGCTGATTTGCGTCCTAATATCCCGGCCATTGATGATGATACATCAGTAACGACAACATCTCTCGCAAATCACCTTTGCGCGGCCTCTTGGGAAGACGTCAATTCCATCAGCCGCCCGAGACGGGAAAAATCGTGGCATCTTCCATCCTGTCCGAGACCACACGTCGTGCATTATTTCACCGCGTCTCAACCCCCCACAGCGCCCGGATGGAAGTGTTGGTACATCTGCATGATCCGTGTGCTGTGCAAGAATCACAGTAGTGCCATGCATCCCCCCAACGCTAGGCGCTAGATCGAATTCTATTCCCATCGCTCGCACATGGCCAGATGCATGTCATGGCTCCGGCTTTGCTCCCAGCCACCGATGAAACAACGGTATGTGTCTCGAGGCGTTGGAGTCTGCTACAAGGACCCGTCGGTAGGCCCAGTCTCTGGCTTACGTAGTAGTGGCAGCAGTAGCAGCAGTGGCAGTGCTAGCAGTGGTAACATCCCTCAACCATAACAGAACGTGTAAAACCTGCATGGCCCTGTACGACTATTCTCCTGAAAGATGTAGTGCGACGGATTTGTTACGCACCTCTGCTCCGTCCTCAGATTTTTCCCAGGGTACTCACGTCTCAGCAACCATCAGCAGCAACACGATCATCAGAATTCAGACCTCAAGCATCCATCTGATAAAACCCTCGCCTTGCCTTGTCACACCCAGCAGTAGTAGCTATAGCTAGCTGCACCCACTCTACGCGGCACACGTGTCATCCAACTAATCCAAATTCCCGTCTTGCAACTGCTGTAGTCCCCGGATGCCAAGGCCTCAATCTCCCCGCCACTCCATCATGACACCAAAGCCCTACCAGCCAAACACCGTTGCAGATTCTCTCAAGACACCCTCTGCTCACAAGCACACGGATATGCACTCTGCTGCGCCTCGCGCTTGATGTTTATAGATTGTAGAAAGCGGAGGTCTTGTCATTGGGGTGTACCAACCATGGCGAGGTGGCCGAGTGGTTATGGCGCTAGTTTCAGGCAAACCTGATAAATTGTGCTGAAGTGGAATTACAATCAACTATATTACTAGTGGAGCAATCCTCGTGGGTTCGAGTCCCACCCTCGTCATCATTTTTGCTTCCAGATCGTCTTTTTGATTTTCCAGAGGATGAGATCAAGCCTGATTTATTGCGTCGCGAAAATGTTGCTCAGTGCCGTGTATTGAAGACGGCAATGAGGAATGTCCCCGGAGGTGGTACGGCGGGTTCTTAGGCTTCGCGTGGCAACCAGTACGTTAATGAGGGAAAAGAGAGGTCAAGGGAAGTTTGCTTGTTGCTTTCAATATACTTCTGGTTTATGGGATGAATGCGGTGATTGACATTGTCATTGTGGTTGAAGCCAAACAGGCTACCTGGGTATACCGAGGCACGCGTACGTGTCGACGTTGGATGCCCTCATCTAGATGGATAGGCCAACACAGAGAGAGTAGAGACTCCTTTCAGTCATGGTAGAGCTACGTACTTTGTACCAAAAGAATCCGCAGGCCTTCCATGCCTGACTCCAATCCGGAGTTTGGCACTACAGACAGAATGACAGGGAGGCTCATAGAGATAGTTACAATCAATAGAGCGGGATGAATGTTGAAATTACTGACTATGGTGATTGACAATAGTACGGACTCAACAAGCGACTTGAAGGGGTAACGAGATTATCATCGTTTAAATGGCACAGAACAGCAGGGACTGAACGAGCCAAGACTTTGCCTTTGTGCTACTCTCCTTTCGCTTCAACCTTGTTACCCTACTGCGGTTTGCCTTCCACCTCTTTCTTCTTCAGTTGCGGCCAGGAAGGAACCCAGTAGGTGAAAGAGGGTCTTTTGTATGATGAATCTAGCCTCACGTTATGCTTAGGTCACAAAGCTAACATCAATTCAAGCGACCCCCTGTTATGCTCCTGCTCGTTCCTCTCCACCCTGATTTATATAACAGTCATTGCTGACCGAGCGCTTGCTAAATCCCTATACGTGAGGTCAGCTTGAACGCTCGCGCACGAAGCGACCTAGCGAAGATGTATGACATTACAAATTGAAGTGGTCGACCTGAGTTCAGATAGTACAATTATTTTAAAGACAATGCTAACTATGAACACAAGACCTATCAACTTTCAACCAAACCCATGCTTGATTCATACATGTTTTGAACAAAGTTCCGTGGTTCACTCCCTGGAACGCCGTCGAACTCTCGACCCGTAATCTTAACCATGCAAATGTAATTCTATGCAAGGTTGTCGCTCCTATCCACCCATACATCCTCTAATTCCGCAAAGTTTTGGAAATGTGTAGGACGATGCAACGCATCGTAGAATCTCTTAGGCACGCCAACATTGACGTAGATCCTGCCCTTCTCCTTTTCGCCAAATGCGCTGCCTAGGAAGCCCATGTTCCACCTCTCATCCTCTGGCACAAGGAAGTAACCTCGGATCTTGTCGGACAATAGTAGCTGGCACCTCTCGCCGAATCCAGAGTTGGGTGAGAATCCGGGCGGCTGATCGGACGATGTGTCCTTGTTCTCCGCTCCCCATGTATATCCCTGTGGTGTCAAGGACCAGGCGGAGAGCGAGACAGAGCCTGGAGTGAAGTTGACAGTCATGGTGACGGTCTTGCGGTCCCATTCCCCGTGTGCAGCCATGAGGCGAGCGTGCTGCGTGACATCCGACGCCATCATGTAACTTGTCTCATTACTGGAAGAAGTATGAATGACACCTAGAGGTTCTAGGCCATCTTTGCCAGACAGCAAGTCATGCTCTGGCAAATTACGGGGCAACTGGATGCCTCTGCTCTCACCGACCTGCGGGACCATGACAATACACTTGACTTCCTTGACTTGCTTGTTATCCTTTGGACTGGAGCCGTAGAGGTAGCCAGCCACTTGGACCCGGAGGTCGGCGATAGTGATGAACCGCTTCAGGATGTTCTTAGGCATGACATATGTGAAGTGATGTTCGTCGTCCTTGATATCTTCTGAAGAGATGTAGACATTGTTCGCCCTCGTCCTCAAATTGCTTGTGGCGATCGCTCTCGTCCGCCATTCTGTCTTGGAAGCAAAACTCTGCTGCTCGTAGGCACTGGTGGTGGTTACAATCATGTCCTCACCTTGGGCGTTCTGTGTCTTGGTAGTAACGGCGGTGAGTTGCTGCTGTTCTTGCTGCTTCTCCAGCTCTGCGGCTTGTTGTCGCTGCATTGATGGTGCCGAAATTTCCATACCGAGAATGATGTCACGAATTTCCGAGTTCGTCAGCGAAGAGATGTTAACATTGTTCTTCTTTCCGTAGTCGTTGAGAATCAAGTCTCGCAGCTGCACTTCGACCTTCACCCAATCTTCATCAGACAAGGTTGGCCATATGTGATGTTCTTGGGTGATGACTGTCTTGTCAGGCCTCAATAGCAGCTTGGTCTTGTCCTGATTGACATGCAGAGCTCTGAGGATCAAGATCAATCTCGAGAATGCCGTGTATGTCGAGATACTCTTCAGCCACTCATCATAGAGGTTGAAAAGAACCATCTGAGGCTCAGTTGCACGCAGGATCATATCACCCAGCTTCTCGACCTTCATGGCAGCCTGGAAAGGTAACTGCAGCTCACTCGCACGAATGCTAATGTTGGGGAAATCGAGCAAGTGCACTTCCAGAGGATCCAGAAGACCCTTTCTTGTGACGATCAGCTGCTTTGGCTGTTCTTCTACAGGCAGCGAACGGATAAGAGCAGCAACTTCCTCAGCGGTCTTCCATTTAGCCAGCTGTCCGAGACGTTTCTGTCCAGCCCAGACGCTCGTATGAATAATCTTCAAGAAGAGCTGGCCAGTACGAGGATTGAAGATGAAGATGGCACCATTGATAGGCTTGGTCGTGAGGTTGCCTTCGAATGTCTTGTGAATTGTGACACGGTATACATTGGTATCATCGATGAAAAGCTGGATTTGGTTGCTGAAAAGCTCAGAGTAGTTCTGCGAATTCAGGAACTCTTGGTTACTCTCAGAAGCGTACAATTGCAGACCTTTCCTGATGCGCTCACGCAGAACATAAAGGGCCGGGTTTGCCTTCATGATCTTGGCCATCGCTTGTTGGACGAGCTGTTTCAAGCCGGGGAAGTACTGCCCGTACGCGGAGTACAAGTTGTACGCCAGGTCGATACCAATCATCAAGCCAGTCGCTGATGGGTAGATGGACATGCTGTCGGTTGTATAGTCAAGATATTTGGCACGCACGTATCTCTCGATATCGTGAGAATCGTAGTCACCATATCTAAGTTGAACATCAATCCAGAACTTGTTGGTAGTTGTGCTGCCCATGTTATCCTTAGTGTCGTAGAGCAGGCTTGGGGTGCTGACACTCCATTTGTGACTAGCAAACAGTAAGATGTCGGCACAACTTGAGTTCATCTTGTAACTCTTCCTGGGGTGAATGGTCTCCTTCTGCACCGTCTCGATACCCAGAGCTTCAAGCTCCTGATCGAAGACTTGGCACAGGTCCATAACAACCGACTCGTGTATCTTCTGCCATAAATGAGCACGGAAGATCTGAATGAGAGAAATCTTCAAAGTGGGGATTTTCCCGTGAAGAAAGATGCCCGTCAGATCAAGCTGGACTTGGAAACCAACATAGACGTTGGCCCTGTTGATGGTTGGGCTCCACCAAAGAGTAAAGCGACGGTTTGGAATCTGGTTCAGACCAGATCGCTGTGCATTCGTGAGCTTCTTGAATTTCATGCTCTCTTCGAAACCGCTATTGTGCAGAACCATGTAGTCGTGACGCAGATAGAGCTGGTCCTTGTCAACACGGAATCCAGACCATTCGTGTGGTTTCTCTTCAAGAGTAATGCCCTTGATAACAAAGCTGTGTATTTGAGGAATCACACGCGTTGCCTCCTTTTTGCGCACAAGAAGGCATGGGATTTCCGCGACATCACCGGAAATCTGTGCAGACAGATGTGGAGCACTCTCTGTTCTGGCGTTATTCCACATCATGCGTCTCTTGGTCCATACGCTGAAACCTAGAGAGCGTGCGAGGGCAACAGTGTCCCAAAACAGAGCCGAGTGATGACGCTCACTCTGCGCGTAGCCGAGCATGTTCTCAGGACAGACGTAACAACCGTCGGCGTCAATGAGTCCCGCAAGGACGGCAAGACGAACTGATCGGGAATTCTTCATGTAGACTTGTGGGATGTGTTTTTGCACACAACTAGGTGACTCGCTGGTATCCGTAATGACTCCGAGGCCATCAAGTGCACGAAGTAGCGTGTCTGCGTGAGAAGTTTGAGCGCCACATTTGACAATCTCCTCGAAGAGCTGATCTTGCTCCTCATCCAAAAGATCGCCGTACGCTCGACGGCCGGTCTCCAAGCAGAATGTCCGTCTGAGTTCGTCAGTCACGACGTCTTCCTTATCATCGTTCTCAAGGACTATGTCGACTTTGTCTCCGTTAGCTTCGTCCTCAATAACGTCAACCATGTCCAAGTCTAATCTATCTTCATCAAGTTTAGGAAGCCCAACGAGCTGCATGGGCTTGTCATTAGATCTTGGCTTGTCAAATACCTCATCAGAAATTGACCTTGCAAACTCGGAAGACAAATCATTAGCGGAATCAATCCGGCGAGGTTGACGAGACACTGAAGAAAATGGGGATGCTCTTTCAGGCTTGTACCATTGTCGCCTTTGGGCCTTCTCCGAATCGTGCTTGATTGTCCATCCCGCAGAAAGACGTTGCTTGCTGAGCGTCTGTCGTGCTTGACGCCCTTTGTTTGTTTCCGGTCGAATACCGTCCAAAATAGGTGGGAGAGATCGGTCGCTCAGACAAGTCCTGCCAATTGTAGCTTTATCGAGTTGTACGGACGAAGTAAAGTGAAGATCAAGTTCAGCCGCGTGAGATACAACAAAGTCATGAATCGCGGCCCCTTGGTTATCGCGGATAGTCGGTTTGGTGGGACTTCCATCTCCAAGCCAAAGACCCAGGAAGTAGGGGTTGACAGGAACATCTTGAACAGGTAACTCGAACCCAGGACATCTAAACAGTCGATATCGCGATTTTTCGCCATCACTCAAAGCCGCGAAATCAGTAGCTGTCATCTCGACAGT